CAAAGTAGGAATTCTAAAACTGAGAACACAGTTGAAGTAAAGACTCAATAGATGGATTTAAGAACAGATAAAATACAGCTGAAGAGATAATTAAGGAAATGGAGGTAAATCAAAAGGAAGTATCTGGAAAAAAGCAGAGAGGCAAGAGTATAAAATATACAAAAGAGAGGTAAGAGGTATAGAGAATATAGTGAGATGACCTATCCTACATATAATTTGAGTCCAAGATAAGAGGAAAGAAGACAGAAGAAATATCTGAAGAGACAAAGGCTTAAAATTCTCCAAACTTAAAAAGAAAATTTGTGTCTAGATACCACAGTAATACTTCTGAAAACCAAAGAATTAAAAAAAATTTTTTAAGCAGCACGGGAGGGTGAGGAGGGTCCTAGATTTTTACAAAGGTAGCTAAAAAAAACTCCTTCCATTTCTATACACATGTCCTTTATAATGAGAATGGCCAACAACACACTGAAAAGCAAAACACTGAAATTAGTTATCAATAAATCAGGACAAGAAAAGCATGTTGGCTATCACCACTATGATTTACTAACATACATTTATTTATTTATTTATTTATTATGTTTCAATTGATTTGAGAGAGAAACATCAATGTGAGAGAGAAACATCGATCAGTTGCCTTGCGTATATGCCCTGACCCAGGACTGAAACCATATCCCAGATATGTACCATGACTGGAATTGAACCTGCAACCCTTTGGGGTACGGGATGACACTCCAACTAACTGAACCACCTGACCAGGGTTGATTTATTAATCTAGAATAGGGCCAACATACGGTTTCTGTTGCAACAACTGAACTCAACTGAAATTAATGTTATTCATATTTAATATAATTATATCATTCTTCAAGTTTTCCCCAACCATTTAAAAATGTATAACAAACATTTTGAGTTCAAATGTCATATAAAAAAGGCAGTAGACTGGATATGGGAGGCAGGCCATAGTTTGCTGACCCCTATTCTAGAAGTTCTAACTAATGGGATGAGAAAAGATAAAAAAGATAGAATTACTAAGAACCTCCCAAAAAACTTACTTGCAGGTGAAAGTCTGTGTACTTAAAAAATAATTAGGTACAAAACTAATGTTCATAAACTAATGCTCACAGTTGAAAACACTCACCAAGCAGAATATAGAGTATCAAATTGAAATTTTAGAAGTGAAAAACACAATAGCTGAAACTGGGGGGAAAAACACCCTAGATGGGTACAATAGCAGAAATAAGAGAGGAAACAATCAATACATTGAAAAAGAGATAAATAGAAAATGTCCAGCTTGTACAACAGAGAAAAAAGAGATTAAAAAAATTAACAAAGACTCAGAATCCTGTGGGACAATAATAAAGCTCAAACATTTGTTACACTACAGTCCCAAAAATGAGAGGAAACGTTCAGAGATTTAAAAAAAAAAAAAAAAATTTGAGCCCTAGGTGGTTTGTCTCAGTGATTAGAGTGTCAGCCTACAGATGGAAGGGGTCACGAGATGGATTCCTGTGAAGGGCACATGCCTCAGTTGCAGGCTGAATCCTCAGGCCCTCTTGGGGCAAGTGTGGGTTGGGGGGCCATTCAGTGTGTCTCTCTCACATTGATGTTTCTCTCTTTCTGTCTCTCCCCCTCCCTTCCACTCTCTCTAAAAATCAATGGGGAAAAATATCCTCAGGTAAAGATTAAATAATTTAAGAAATAACTGCTGAAAATTTCTCAAATTTAGTTAAAGATAGAAACCTCAAACTGCTAAAAACTAAAGACAATGTCCTGAAAGCTGCTAGAAAAATGACACATTACTTACAGAAAACCAACAATCCAAAGGATTTTTTTTTTTAATCAGGAATCATGGAAGCTATAAGGAAGTGTACAATATATTTCAAATGCTGAAAGAATCAAGCCAAAATTCTATATAGAGTAAACATATACTTTAGAAATGAAGGTGAAATAGAAACAATGGCAGATGAAGAAAACTAAGAATGTGTCACCAGCAGACCAGCTCTAAAAGAATGGCTGAATTTCTTCAGAAAGGAAATAAATGTTCACAGAAGGAATAAAGAGTAGTGGAAAGGGTGTATATACACACATATATTTATGTTACACATAAACACATATACACCAATTAAACAATCCCCCTTTAATTTTAAAAATTATGTCTGATACTGAAAATAAAAATTCTAACATTGTCTTATGATTCTCAATACATATATAAGAGATAATATTTAATATAACTGCATGATAAGGGGGGGTGAGGTAAAAGAACCTAAAAGGTGGTAAGGTTTCTACATTCCACTTAAAAGTGGTGCCAAAACCGGTTTGGCTCAGTGGGTAGAGCGTCGGCCTGCGGACTGAAAGGTCCCAGGTTCGATTCCGGTCAAGGGCCTCTCCAGTAGGAGATGTGCAGGAGGCGGCTGATCGATGTTTCTCTCTCATCGATGTTTCTAACTCTCTATCTCTCTCCCTTCCTCTCTGTAAAAAATCAATAAAGTATATTTAAAAAAAAAAAAAAAAGTGGTATAGCCCTAGCTGGTTTGGCTCAGTGGATAGAGCATCCACCTGCGGACTGAAGGGTCCTAAGCTCGATTCCAGTCAAGGGCACATGCCTGGGTTGTGGGCTCGATCCCCAGTAGGGGGCATGCAGGAGGCAGTCGATCAATGATTCTCTCTCATCATTGATGTTTCTATCTCTCTCTCCCCCTCCCTTCCTCTCTGAAATCAATAAAAATATATTTTTTTAAAAGGAAAGAGCCCTAGGCCTAGCCAGTTTGGCTCAGTAGATAGAGCATAAAAACAACACATAGATCAATGGAAGAGAACAGAAAGCTCAAAATTAAACCCATGCCTTATGGTCAATTAATCTTTGACAAAGGAAGCAAAAATAAAGAATGGGGTAAAGACAGTCTTATCAATAAATGGTGTTGGGAAAACTGGAGTAATATATGCAAAACACGAAACTAGACCACTTTCTTACACTATATAAAAGAGTAAACTCGAAATGGATTAGACTTAAATGTAAGACCCCAAACCATAAAACTCCTAGAAGAAAACATAGGCAGTAAAATCTCTAACTTTCTCATAGCAATGTTTTTTTCTGATATATCTTCTCAAACAAGGGAAACAAAAGAAAAAACAAACAAATGGAACTATATCAAACCAAAAAGTTTTTGCAGAGCAAAGAAAATTATCAATAAAACAAAATGACAATTTACTAAATGGAAGAAGATATTCGCCAATGATACATCCAGTAAGGGGTTAATATCCAAAATGTGTAAAGAACCCATACACCTTAACATAAAAAAAAAAGAAACTATCTGATTTAAAAATGGGCAGAGAACCTGAATAGGCATATCTCCAAAGAGGACAGACAGGTGGCCAATAGACATTTGAAAAGATGCTTAATGTCACTAATCATCAGAGAAATGCAAATTAAAACCACAATGAGATATCACCTGACACCTGTCACAATGGCTATCATCAATAAACCAGTAAACAACAAATGTTGGCGAGGATGTGGATAAAAGGGAACCCTCATACACTGTGGGATTGCAAATTGGTGCAGCCACTATGGAAATAGTATGGAGGTTCCTCAAAAAATTAAAATGGAAATGCTTTATGACCCAGCAATTCTACTTCTGGGTATTTATCTGAAGAAATCCAAAACACTAATTTGAAAACATATATGTATCCCTATGTTCATTGCAGCTTTATTTACAATAGCCAAGATATAGAAGCAACCCAAGTGTCCATCAATAGGCAAGTGGATAAAAAAGTTGTGGCATATTTAATGGAATTTTCCTCAGCCTTAAAAAAAGAATGAAATCTTACCATTAGTGACAATATGGATGGATCTAGAGGGTATCATTTTAAATAAAATAAGTCAGAAAGAGAAAAACAAATACCATATGATTTAACTTATATGTAGAATCTATAAAACAAAATAAGCAAACAAAATTGAAACTAACACATAAATACAGAGGACAAACTGATGGTTGCCAAATGGGAGGGGGTTTGGGAGAAGAGGGTGAAGAGGTTAAGAAGTACAAATTGGCAGTTACAAAATAGTCATGGGATATAGAAGTATAGCACAGGAAATATAGTTAATAATATAATAACTATGTATGATGTCAGGTGGTTACTGGACTTATCGAGGGAATCACTTCTTAAGTTATATAAATGTCTATCTAACCACTATACTGCATGCCTGAAACTAGTATAAAATATTAAATGTCAACTGTAATTGAAAAATAAAAATTTTTAAAAGGAAAAAGACCTAACTATATGCTGCCTACAAGAAATGTACTTCAGATATAACATAACAACCAAGGTAGGTTAAAAATAAATGGATTCAGTGTTTCAGGGATAGGGAAAGAGGAATGAATTAGTGGAGCACAAAGAATTTTTAGAGTAGTGAAACTATTCTGTATGATACTGTAATGCAGTGGTTCTCAACCTTCTGGCCCTTTAAATACAATTCCTCATGTTGTGACCCAACCATAAAATTATTTTCGTTGCTACTTCATAACTGTAATGTTGCTACTGTTATGAATTGTAATGTAAATATCTGATATGCAGGATGGTCTTACGCGACCCCTGTGAAAGGGTCATTCGAACGCCAAAGGGGTCGCGACCCACAGGTTGAGAACCGCTGGCCTACAACAACTTCCCCAAAGGACTTATACCTATGTATTTCCTCTAACAAAACATGTTAGGATCTATATGCTGAAAAATGCAAAACACTGATAAAACAGTAATCAAATTAAACCTAAATAAATGAAAAAATTTACTGTGTTCATGTTTCGGATTCATGACCAGGATGAAGGCCACCATTATAAATAATGATAATTATAATGTTTTAATCACAAAAATAAGCTATTCTACAGCCTGCAAATAAAATGGAATGGAGAAAACCTGATTTTAGCTTTGTTTTGTGAGAATACTAACTTGGGGGACAAAGACTCCTCACAGCTCTCGTTTTAATTATTTAATTATTTAGCTCTTACCTTAATTATTTGAGATGCATCATCCATCCCCACTCACTGGAATTCCATAAATACTTTTTTTTTAGTTTGTCACCTGCAACTAAAGGGGAAAAAAAACCTTTAGAAAGGTAAAACAGCCCTATTTAAACCCATGGATTGTTCCCAGGGAGTACACTCTAAGGAGATGTTTTATAGAGCTGTGCTTAACATTCCAGTAGCCATAGAACAAAGCTCCATCTTAAATAGTTTAAATCACTGAAGAGCTCATGAGAACTCAATCAGAAATTAGGTCTTTCCAGTGGAGGCAAGATGGAGCACTTCTCTCTTCTCCCAAAACCTGGAATAGTCTGCAAGGGGACATTTGGCAATGCCTAAAGCTAGTTTTAATTGTCTTACAAATCACAGGATAGTCCTTGCATAACCAAGTATTGGTCAAAGACCCACCTTCTGGTCCAAGCTCTGTAACTCATTAGCTAAGTGACCCAAACCAAACCTATTAACCTCTTTAAGCCTCAGGTTTTTTTCTCTTGGAAAAAGAGTAAAGCCTGAATTAAGTTCTTTTCTAATTTTCACGGTACCAAAATAATCAAATTTATATTGAAATACTGCCTAACCTTTAAGCATACACAATGGGCCAGTCATTATATTAAGTGTTTTATGTGCTCTACCTCATTTAACCCTATAATAGGCAGATGCTATCATTAGCCTCATTATCCAAATACGTAACCTGATATAGACTCTTAGGTTCACAAAGTGGTAAACAGCAGATCCAGGATCTGAACCTGGCCAACCTGATTCTATCTAGAGCCTCATTCTTATCATTATCTTCACCATCCCGCTTGGATTTGAGGAGTAATGACTGTGGTTCTTAATCCTCTTGGACAGAGGATTAAGAATCATATCCCTAATTTCACCACCCACTAAATACCATAGGAGACTTTAGGTTCAAAATGGCGAAGAGAATAGAATAGAGAACCCAGAAATTGACCCAAACCACTATGCTCAATTAATATTTGACAAAGGAGGCAAGAACATACAATGGAGTCAAGACAGTCTCTTCTTGCCGAAACTGGTTTGGCTCAGTGGATAGAGCGTCATCCTGCGGACTGAAAGGTCCCAGGTTCGATTCCAGTCAAGGGCATGTACCTGGGTTGCGGGCACATCCCCAGGAGGAGATGTGCAGGAGGCAGCTGATCGATGTTTCTCTCTCATCGATGTTTCTAACTCTCTCTCTTCCTTCCTCTCTGTGAGAAATCAATAAATATATTAAAAAAAAAAAAAAGAGTCTCTTCAATAAATGGTGCTGGGAAACTTGGTCAGACACATGCAAAAAAAAATGAAACTAGACCACCAACTTACACCATACACAAAAATAAACTCAAAATGGATAAAACACTTAAACGTTAAGACAGGAAACCATAAAAATATTAGAGGAGCCGAAACCGGTTTGGCTCAGTGGATAGAGCGTCGGCCTGCGGACTGAAAGGTCCCGGGTTCGATTCCGGTCAAGGGCATGTACCTGGGTTGCGGGCATATCCTCAGTGGGGGGTGTGCAGGAGGCGGCTGATCGATGTTTCTCTCTCATCGATGTTTCTAACTGTCTATCTCTCTCCCTTCCTCTCTGTAAAAAATCAATAAAATATATTTAAAAAAAATATTAGAGGAATCCACAGGCAGCAAGATCTCAGATATATGCCGAAGCAATATCTTCACTGATACTGCTCCTAGGGCAATGGAAACTAAAGGGAAAATAAACAAATGGGATTACATCAAAATTAAAAGCTTCTGCACAGCAAAAGAAACCATCAACAAAACAACAAGAAAACCCACTGCATGGGAGAACATATTTGCCAACGATATCTCTGATAAGGGCTTAATCTCCAACATTTACAGGGAACTCATGCAACTTAACAAAAGGAAGACAAACAACCCAATCAGAAAATGGGCAACGGATCTAAATAGACACTTTTCGAAAGAAGACATAAGGAAGGCCAAGAGACATATGAAAAAATGCTCAAAGTAACTAATCATCCGAGAGATGCAAATCAAAACGACAATGAGGTACCATCTCACTCCTGTCAGAATGGCTATCATCAACAAATCAACAAATGACAAATGCTGGCGAGGATGCAGAGAAAAAGGCACCCTCATGCATTGCTGGTGGGAATGCAGACTGGTGCATCCACTGTGGAGAACAGTATGGAGTTTCTTCAAAAAACTAAAAATGGAACTTCCATTTGACCCAGTGATCCCACTTCTAGGAATATATCCCAAGAAACCAGAAATACCAATCAGAAAGGATATATGCAGCCCTATGTTCATAGCAGCACAATTTACAATAGCTAAGATTTGGAATCAGCTTAAGTGCCCATCAGCAGATGGGTGGATTAAAAAACTTTGGCATATCTATGCAATGGAATACTATGCCGCAGTAAAAAGGAAGGAACTCCTACCATTTGCAACAGCATGAATGGAGCTGGAGAGCATTATGCTAAGTGAAATAAGCCAGTCAGAGAAAGATAAATATCACATGATCTCACTCATTTGTGGACTATAATGCACAACATAAACCGATGAACAAAAATAGATCTAGAGACAGAGAAGCATCGATCAGATGCTCAAACCTTAGAGGGAAGGTAGGGGAGGGTGAGGGTAAAGGGGAGAGATCAACCAAAGGACTTGTATACATGCATATAAGCATAAGTGATGGATGCAGACAACAGGGGGTGAGAGTGAGGGCAAGACTGGGAGGATGAGGGGACAATGGGGGGATAAAGACACATTTGTAATACCTTAATCAATAAAAAATTTTAAAAATATAAAAATAAAACCTGAAACACACACACACCCCAAAACGGTGAAGAGACACCATTTTAAAGCTACAAACTAGCCAAGATTAGGAAAACAAGATCTAAAGCTGTTGGGGACCTGATGCCATAGGTTGCTCATACCCTGCACTGACACTGTACAGTAAAAGACAATCCCTTTCAACAGAGGGCCTTCCGAATGTTCACACACTTCTTTAAAATAATCCTAAATACAGTAAAAGAAAACTTCATACAAAGACATTCACTGACTGCCAATGACTAGGCAATGAAGTGGTCCAAGACCCCAGTGTTTCTGTCCAGTGAGATACTCCACTATTGGGCAATCTGGGCTGACAGAGACTCTGTTAGGTGTGCGCTGCAGTCTGGTGCCTCTCCCTACCCGATCCTACCCTTTTCCTGTTTCCTCATCGTCATTACTCCCCAATGTCGACAAAAGAAAATCCAAACTGGTAGGAAAATTTTATAAACGTTTATTTGAACAAAATCTGAGGACATGCCCAGGAGCAAGATCTCAACAAATTGAGAAAATGCCTCAGAGAATGGCAGTTTGGCAGTTCTTTTTTTATACATTTAGAATCAAAAGAGAAGACGTAAGAAAGGCTACATGAAATCCACTGGTGGCAGATTAAGGAGACGGAAAAAAACAAAGCAAGGAAATATCTAGGATTGAATAAAAAGTAAAATGAAGAGACAGTTACTTCTTTTACAGTGGTGGGGACAGGATAGTTAACATTTAATATTTATAGTAAATAGAGATGGTATGTGGGCAATAAGATAACAATGAGGAGTTTCATGGTCATGTGCTCTGGTGCTAGATTGTGACTCTGAGGAGCCTGGAAAATTATTCTGATACTAATGCCCCAGTGCAGGGATTCATGAACATTGAAAAGAAATTAACTGGAAGGTGGCTGGCAGGACTGGGTGAGATGTGCCATCCCTCCCTGGCCAGCCGCACCTGGGGTGGCGCCATGGCTCGAAGGGCATCTGTGCAGTGAGCAGGGTTCCTCGGCAGGTGGGGTCCCTCAGCCTGGCCTGCGGGAATCAGGCTGAAACCAGCTCTCGGACATCCCCCAAGGGGTCCCGGATTGTGAGAAGGTGGTTCTCGGGTGACTACCCTGGAATCAGGCTCCCTCCTCTCTTGGTTCCAGGGTGTGTCACCAGAAAACCACTGCTGCCAAGTCACCACAGCTCAGCAGTTCCTGCGTTAAGCGTCTGCCCCCTGGTGGTCATTGCACATCATAGCTACCGGTTGGACAGTCGCTTAGCCTTTTATATATCTAGATTTCATATTCTGATATTTCACAGGGCTCACTTAAGATAAAGACTGACTTTTGCTGAGAAAGTTATAGGCCTGGTGCGTGACTAACCACCTTGACCTGCCCAGTTAGCAATCTATGATCAAACCATCCTGTGTGGTCACTTTCAGTCACTGAGCTTGTGAAACCTGTCATGTGGTACTCTGAGCTTGCCGGTTCTGCAGCCCCTTTTACATTCACACCAATAAGCCCTTTGCTCCCCTACTCCATCTCAATCTGCTTTCTAAAAACCTAACCGGCACATATATTAAATGTATTTACAGTGATGAAGAAACAAAAACCACTGGGGGAAAGAGGACTCCCAATAAATAAACCAAAATGTTAACAATGTTGGGACCTCTGTACTATCCAAGTATCATCTATTACTTATACATAATAAAAAAAATTAAAAAAAGATTTTGTGCTAAATTTTGCTCCTGGGGGAAAACTAAGATGGCGGCATAGATAAACACCGGGAAATTGCCGCCTCCCACAACAATTGAAAAATACCGCAAAGGACAGAGCGGACATCACCCAGAACAACAGGAAAGCTGGCTGAGTGTAAATTCTACAACTAGAAGGAAAGAAAAGCACACTGAGAGCCAGAGGAGCTGCGGAGGTGAAGTGCAGAGGTACGGCGGCTCGCGCGCGCGCGGAAAGGGGGTGGCACCTGAGGACGCGGCTGTTTTTTTGAATCACAAGCTCCTGACTGCTCTGAACTCCGGTTCCGGGAAGTCTCTGGGGACCCAGGACTCATACGGGGAGAGGCTGGTCTGTCCGGCAGCGGGCGAACTTGAGTGCGGCTTTCCCTCAGAGGTGCTTGCAGCAATTACCGGGTCACTGAGATGCGCGACTCATTAGGGCTGGGCGGAGAATCAGCCATAGTTGCTTGCTCCGCCCTTTGATTCCCTGAGACCCCGCCCCACCCAGGCTGCAGCAGAGGCTTTTGCATGTGAATGTACCTAACTGCAGCCGAG